CTTGCTGTCCCCCAGCACCCCACAGAGGTTCAGGTTTGGAAGTCAGCTGGTCAGACCCACTCTGCCGTATGTTGGAGGCTGGGCCAGGCACTCTGTTTCTCCAAGGGGCTGTTCTCTCATTTCTGAGGTACAGTTGATAATGGTACCTGCCTCAAAATGTGGCTGAGAGACATAACATGAGCACAGATTTGATGCTGAGAACCGCCAGGTTTCTGACCTGGAGTTGAATACAGAATCCAAGCCCCTTACAGAGTCAGAAACCCCTCATATAGCATTTACTATGTGCAGGGCACTGGTCTATGCATGTATCTCCCCATTACTATTACCCTATTACAGGTGAGAAAACTGCTGCATAGAGAGGTTAAGTTACTTGCCCAAGAGCACACAGGGTAATAATCTGAAGAACTGGGATTCAAACCCAAGCATCTTGGCTTCAGATCTGTGCTATTAACTGCTTGGCTATGAGTCCTGTTGGCCTAACCAACCGTACACGTTTGTGGGATGGAAATATGATGATGGGTAGATGAATATGAGTGAGTCCCTGTTTTAGTCAGTTTTTTTTCACTGCTTTGACCAAAAGACCTGATAAGAACAATGTATCTTTAGAAGAAGATACATTTATTTGGGAGCTCATGGTTTTAGAGTTCTCTGTCCTTAGACAGCTGGCTCCATTCCCTGGAGTTCTAGGTGAGGCTGAACATCAAGGTGGGGGGGAGTATGGTGGAGGGAAGCATCTCTCCACTTACAAGATACAAAATATATCCCCAAAGGCATGCTCCCCAATAAGTCCCCCAATGACCCACCTCCTCCTGCCACATCCTACCCGCCTTCAGTTACCACTCAGTTCATCCCTATCAGGGAATTAATTCACTGATTGGGTTCAAGCTCTCCTAAGCTAATCATTTCACCTCTAAGCCTTCTTGCATTGCTTCACATGTGAATTTTGTGGGGGCACCTCACATCCAAACCATCCGGTCCCCTCCACAGACTAGAACAGAGAAGAAGATTCCTGTCCTTGCCCCTGCCCAGCTTCTGTGTGGAGGCTTTGGGAATACAAGTTGAGAGTTGTCTCCCTGGCTGCATCCAGTTACAGCAGTGTGTTCTGGCAGGGGCTACAGGTTTGCCTCAGTTGGAATCTTCCTGGGCTGCAGGTGTGACCCAGCCCACTGAGCAGGTGCACTGGGTTTTCACTTGGTGTCTTCTATCTCTAGGGAAAAGAATTATGCCATTGGATTTCACAGTTGACTCTGAAAATATGTGTCTCCCCAGTCTGTTTAGGGCTGGGCTGGACTACCTTCCTGACCCTGTTTCTTCCCCTCTCCTCTCTATGCCACTTTGTCTCTCTTTGCTCTGGTCAGGGTGTCTGGTTGGGACGTCACCTCCTGCCTGTAGCTGCTGCTCTTGGCTCTCCAGCCCCTGACTTCCTCCCAATTGCTGGCAATGTGTGCACATTCCCCAAAGTGCTGTGACATCTCCGAGGACATTACCAATTTGGGCAGGTCCCAAGAGAAGGGCCATTTCTTCCCCAAACTGCCTCTGGACAATCCAGTGGAAGTGGGGTAGACCTGACAAGTTTCTAGTGGCCTTAAAAACTTCTCTCTGTCGTATCCATAAACAACGGGTGCCTTCTGAGGCCTATCAGGATGATAAGGGGCTCGAACAAGGCCCTGGTAATCTTGCTTCTCACGCACCCCTGAGTCTGTTGGAGGGAGGTACCAATGTTTCTACTTCCTGGCTTAGAAAATTCTTTCCAAAGATAGCTCCCAAGGTAGCCTGGGGCTAAGTGGCCTCTAGCTCATCTTTTGACCAGGTCAGTGGACTCAATAGATAGCAGCCTTCCTTTTCCTCCTCTTGAAAGACCAAAGCCCTCTGATAGTAGCTTGGGAGGAAGCTAGTGAGTGCCACACTCACTATTTAACCCCTTGCCAGAATGTATGGAAAGGAGGACAAGATGATGGCCAGGAATACTTGTAAAACTCTGCTCTGCCACTCAAATGCCTTCAGAGGCATCCTGGCCTCTCTACGGAAAATCTCCTGCTGGGGAATTCACCCTGTTCCACGCTGACCTTTCTTCAAGCACAGTGCTAGGTTGGAAATAAAGGGAAGCCAGACCATAGGCCCCTCAGCCCTCTCAGAACACGGTCAGGTGGATGCTGATGATGACAAGGACTGCCAGCTGGAGTGCCCTCAGAGGCGGGCATGTGTGGGGCTGCGGAGGCTCATTGCTTCAGTCGGAGATGAAGATATTTTTAGGGATGAATCCGGGCCTTCCTTCTCTCCCTCCTTCTGATGCTAAGTAGCCATCTGCATCTCCCAGACAACCTCCACAGGCAGCATTCTAGAAAAGCAGGCTAGGGAAGTGGCTGTGATTATATATAGAACATAGAGCGGCTCCATCAGGAGGTTGAATTTGCCTGGTGTACCAAGAGCGAGAAAAGGCTGTGGGAGACTTGGAACCCACTCACTTCCTCTGGGACCCTCACAAGGGCCTCCTTACATCTGCGCCTCCATTCATTCATTTAATCTGATAAGGGGCTAGATAATATTTCTTCTAAGGTCCACTCTTAACATTGTGTGATCTTCCCTTTGAAAGAGCTGAGTTGTATAAACTTCCAGAAAATTCCAGCAGGACATTCCCTGGTGATCATTTTGCCGTATGACATCCTGAACCCACTCTTCTCCTCTTTCTGGGGGAGATGGTCAGCAAGGTTGGCTTGTATGAGGTGACAAGAGGCTCTGACCCAAGAAGTCCCAAGGTGTGTCTCCCTCTATCCAGGTAGCTCCCATCAATTCCCAGCTTGTCCTATATCCAAGGAAAAACACAGGCCCCAGGATAAGCTAGCAAGGGTCTTTCTCAGTTGAGCTCCCTGAGATAAGGATTGGGAGTGGAGGAGAGGAGGCAGAGTTCTAGGAATGCAATGGCAACTTCTCATTTTTGAGCTGCTAGAACTTCTGTACTGAGCAATGCTATCTCTGTTAAAAACTTCATTGGCCCACAGTGTTCCTGAAATAATGACAAATTTGCTTTAATCTGAAGGGAAAACATTGTGCTATATATAAGGCAATGGGAATTATAAAAAAAATGAACAATAAATAATACAGCTCCCATAGCATCATGTGCTTCTGATGATTTATCTGCTGCCTTATTAGTTACATGAGTACAGGAAGCACATCTAGATCTTGATAGGGTTTGTTAAATGAATAAATGACTCTGCCTACATCCCCATCCACAACTTGGGGGTCTCAGGCCCGGGCCAATAGCAACAGGTCTTGTCCAGTGAAATCAAGCTGGAGACAGAGATAAAGGGGTTTCCTAAAGCTCCTCACTGTCTTGAGTCTGCTATATCATTCTGCAAAGAAGACAGGGCCAGGTCAGCAGTGTCTCCTCTTTCTTACAACAGACTTGAGCTCTACAGAATGCGTGAATGGACTAGCGGTGGGTCAGGCTGGAACAGTTCTTTCACGAACAGACCTGACCTATCTAGTGTCCCAGAGTCATGGCTATTAGAGGTTCCAGACACTGTGGTTAGGCCACCAGTAGTTATGCCAATTCTGGAATCAGATAGATCTGGGTCAAATCCACACTTACTAACCATATGACAAGATGCTTTACTCATAGTTTTCAGTTTCCACATCTGGGAAACAGGGTGATAATAGAAATGTATCCCTGTAGATCCAGGCTCAAATGAGATCATGTGTTGAGGACCATCTGTCAACTGATGTCACAGGCCTAGTTCCATCAGAATGGAATATTGCTCCTCTGAGTTGGTGCTGATTGAGCTGTGTAAACTGAGCAGGGACAGCTTTTGGGAAAAATTCATCTGTACGAAGTTGATTAAATTCTGAAGATGCTAAGAGATCTGTCAGGTGGGACAACACCTGGGAAAATCCAAAAGGCCAGGGGTAGTAAAGAATAAGAGAAAAAATAGACCCCAGGTTTTGGGGACAAACTGTTCTGTTTGTACTTTCCTGGCAACGGAAAGTGGTCTTTCCTGAAGGTGGTCTTGTGCTGGGGAATTCCAGCAGCTTGGAGCCATAGTACTGTTTGCTCATTGCCCAAACCTGCCTGTTTTCCTCCCTCTGGGTCATCTGTTCCAGGAACATTTATTGATGCTTACCTTGGGTAAAGCCCCATGATGGAGCTGGGCCCCAGAGGTGAGTCAGCCATTGTATCTGCCCACGAGTCTGCTCAGTTCATGATCACTGCTACAGCAGTGTGTCCCAGGTGTCTTGCATGACTTACACTCTTTAAAGTGCTTCATATTTCTTCTAGGCTCTACCTCACTCACACTGTTTTCTGTCAAGGTTTTTCTTTGGAGCTGTGGTGACTCTGGGCAACAGGGAAAGGTGGGCAGAGCAGAAACTAAGGCGACACCCAAGAAAGAAGGTATTTAGGTAATTTGACCAAATCAACACAGATGGTCCACACCACCACCCCTTTTCCTTCAAGTTCTATCCAAAGTAAGGCCAGTTCAAGTGAGGGCCTATTAGCTAGCAGAGCAGTTTGCTGATGCTCAGGATGGTCACCAACCAAACCAAGGAAAGAGACTGACAGGGTGTACACAGTACAGGAAGTGCTATACTGCTCCCTCATGTCCAAAAGGGGACAGTGAGTCGCTTTCCAGCTGCCTAGGCCAAGAACCCTGAGGCTCAGCCCTTGCCTCTCCCTTGACACTAAAATACCAACACCTGGGTTTTCATCTCGCAGCATCACCACGCCCTGCTCCCGTCAGCCTTCGTTTTGGTCTCCGACCTGCGCTGTTTGGGGTGGGAGAGCCGGGCCGCTCCCTGCGCTCAGGGCCGGGCTTCGGCCCACGTGCGCCAGAGGCAGCAGTGGTGACAGCCGGCCCCATGAGGGCGGGGAGAGCGCGGGGGTGGACCCCGCGCCGCACTGCCATTGGCCGTGCTCCTGGGTTTGGAGGCGGGGCCTCGCCCCCGGATGCCCTGTCATTGGCCGCGCCGCCAATGAGGGCGTTTCCCAGTCCGGACCGCCGCACAGCGCAGAACTGCAGGCGCCCGGCCGGCTAAGCCTGCGCTGGGCCGCCTCGCTAGCTCTCAGCTCCGCAGGCGGCCGCCGGGTCTCGACCGCTGAGCCCACAGCTTGAGGCGGAGCAGGCGCTGATCCGAGGCCAGGCTGCCCAGGAGTCTCTCGGTAAGGCGGAGGCGGCGTGAGCTTCGGGCGGGCGGGCGCGGGTGGGAACTGTGCCAGCTGTGTCTGGACTCTGAGCCCTGCCCTGCGCCCGGGAGGGTCAGGTGCGGCCGCGGCATCCCACGTCTCAAACCCACCCGGCGGAGCGCGCTGCGAGCAGGTGTTATAGTCGATGGAGCCCACGGCGCCCCAGGTCAAGCCTCCGAACCAATTAGAACGTAACGAAAACCTCCTGCTGATAACCCGAGCTATCTCTTACTCCTCTCTCAAACACCCAAACCCTGCGATTCTAATCCTAGAAAATCCCAAACGTTAGAGCGAGGTGGGCGCAACGCGCCAGCAGTGCCGCCTGTCATCCAGCGGGTCCTTCCCGAACTTAGCTTCACAGGATTTGGGTTCCGCGCCCTTTATGTCCTTTCGGCTCTTCACTGGGCGCCCCCCCCCTCCCCATTCTTCTCCCTCCTTAATAACAGGAAGTTAAGTTGGGCCAAATGTCAGTGGCTAGGCCGGCTGTGGGCTGGGACCCGGGCTGGGGCCGGGGCCGCAGCACTGTCCTCTCGGCATCGCATGCCCCAGCAGTGGGCTTTCACCGCAGGCCCAGGAGCACCCGGGACCCGGCGTCCCCGGCGCCCTCCCTGTGGTTGTCTGACTGCCCGTTGGGAAAGGTGGGGTCTTGCCCGCAGTCCCTGCCGCGGCTGACCCGCGGAGCAAGTGGGGTTAACTTTATCCGGGCCAGCCTCATCTGTCAGAGCTGGGAACGGCCTTTACTGGATAGGGAAGAGGCGTGTTGAAACCACAGTAAACGTGTGTCTCCTTCCACATTGTTTATTCTGGATCCTGGGTTCTTAAAGCGGAAAGAGCTTTCATTTGTAAGCCATAGGACCTGTGGGTGTGCTTCGCGTGCTGGCGCTCTTGCTGACAGTCTGGTCTGGTCTTCAGTGGTTTGGGTGAAGGATGAAGTCACTAACCAGCCCCCTTGTGGACAGGTCCTACGTGGAAAAAGCCAACAGTCAGTTGTCCTCCACATTTGCCTGCCTGGGTTCCCTGGCACTAGTGCCCTCTCTGTGCCAGTCCCTTCGGTAGGGGCAGAGGACCCAACAAATGGGCTTTGAGTCCCCAGGACAGCCCCAAGTGATGTTCTGGAGACTTTAATTGCAGTAAGAACTGGCCTTCTTCAGGCAGAGGGAAGATGGATTTATTAAGCACCTCTTGGGCACCAGTTCTGGTCCTGGGGCATTTTTGCAACTGATTTCACTGGTTACTCTCCAAAATGACTGAGTTTTTGCCCCACTCTCCTCATTCCATTTTAGAGATGGGGAAAGAGAAAGTGTCTGAGCCAGGTCTTGGCTCTGTCCATGCTAAGTCCAGAGCCTCTTCTGCTACCCTAAGGCTGTGGAAAGTGGAATGCTATGCATGGAACTGTGGCTTCCCTGTAGGTTGACTGAAGCCTTCTGGCCTCTGGAGGATTCTGTCCACCAGGATTTCAGGAGATGTTTCTTTAGCAAAACACATGAACTGACCCAGGTTAGCCTATGTTATTCAACCTGCAAACTCGTTGCTTACACTGTCCTCTGGTCAAGGGTGATGGATAGTGCTGGCCATGATATGACAGGGAGGGATTGACTGCTGGTTTGGGGGCACTGTTTTTTTTTTTTTGGGAGGGGGGTGCTCTTTCCACCATTGACTTGGCCTCATCTTTGAGAGTTGACTTTTCCATTAGTCTGAAAAGACTATTTTAGGTGGAATAACCTTGACCTTAAAACAGATTCCAGTTTTATGACTTTTCTTTTTCTTTCCTTCTTTCTATCTCCTTCCTTTCTTCCTTCTTTTTTTTTTTTCTTCTTTGGAGGGAGAAGGCAGGTGCTGAGGTATGCTAGTTGTGTTTGTGGTCTGATTGAAATACAGTTTGACATACCTTTATAAAAATGACATCACTTTTTATCTCTGTCCACTTTCTTCTTTGGGCCTAGGGCTTTGTCTTTCTGCTCGTCCCTTCTTCCAAAAGAAAATCTCAGCTAGATACCAATCAATTATACTTTAGTATAAATTAGCTTAAGGACTATGGCTGGTTGTGGCTGTGAAGTTCCATTCCCAGGAGCTACAAGGAGCATCCAGGTAATCCCCATTCCTTTTTGCTTATGATTGGGGTGTATCTTTATTCTCTCTGCCATGCTCATACCCCTGTCTGGGTTTTCTTTCTAGCCATGCACCTGCTCCCTTCTCTCCCCACTAATGAAGAGTAGAGGTCTTGCCTTCTTGGTGCAGAGGCTTGGCTAAAGATTTGGGCTGAACATTGTTAGTCCTCAGAGGACTAACAGTCTCTGTTATTTAAAGAGCCAGGGAAGAGAATACTGTTCACCATGCTGGGACATTTCATTCTTTGTATGAGAGCCCTGCATTAGCCCTCTGAAGATGTAGATGGGGCTGTTCCCATTTTATGGACCAGGAAACTGAGACTCAGAAATGTTGTAACTTGCCCCCATTAGAAAGTTAGTGAGATAAGATTGGATTCCAGCCTTGGTCTGTTGAGGGGGAGGGATAAAACATTAAGGGAAGCAGGAAAACCTTGTGGCTGTCCTCTGAACTCTAGAGCTTGGTGGGGAGAGTTCCTCTGCTGGACTGACTACTCCCTACTCTATATTGTAATTAAGTGTGAACATGTCTTCTCACCCCACCATAAAATGGCTTTAAAACACTCATAAATGGGCTGGGATTGTGGCTCAGTGGTAGAGCACTTGCCTACCATGTGTGAGACACTGGGTTTGATTCTCAGCACCACATATAAATAACTAAAGTAAAGGACCACTGACAATTAAAAAAATATTTTAAAAAAACACTCAGATTTATTTTCTGGTTCTCTTAAGTCCTCCTTGCTCTGTATTTCCTTAGCCTTTCACTAAGGACATCCACCATGATGTGTTACTGCCCATTATTAAAAAAATATTATGATATGATTCTGCAATCTGTATACGGGGTAAAAATGGGAGTTCATAACCCACTTGAATCAAAGTGTGAAATATGATATGTCAAGAACTATGTAATGTTTTGAACAACCAACAATAAAAAATTTAAAAAAAATATTATGAACATTTTCAAACACTTAAAACTAGAATAGTCTAATGAGACCCATATACTCCTTACCCAGCTTTATTAGCCACCAAGACTGTCAGATTATGTCTTTTTCCTTTCCCTCTGTTCTCTCTTCCTGAAGTATTTTAAAGCAAACCTCTGACGTCATGTCATTTTGTACCTATATAATCCAGTATTGATCTTTTAAAAAAAGAATCTTTTCTTGCAAAGCCACACTGTCATCACTGCACAGAACAGAATGGACAGTATTTCTTTGGTATCACCTGTCTGTATTTGGATATGCTTCGTTGCCAGAAATGATCTTTACAGTGGTTTATTGGAGTCAGGAGCAATGTGCGTGCGGCACTTGTCCGTTGGTCCTTTCATGCCTGTTTCAATTGAGAGAAGCTCCCCTCCTCTCACTCAGCAATTACCCTCTGTTTTAAGTGCCTGTCTCTACCCTCCCAGAGCACGGCAAACCCCTTGAGACTAGAGTTCTCTTCTATGCCATGCAAGATACACAGAGTAAAGTCGTGTGTGGAGGACCTGGCAGAGACTCAGTGAGCATCTGTCCAGTGTTATGGCCAGTCAAGAAATGTGTTTGGAATGGACTGAACCCTGTTGGGGGTTGTGTACTGCCATGCACGTGTTTGCAAAAGAGGTTTCCAAAAAAAAAAAAAAAAAAAAAAAGACTTGCTCACATGTGGCTGTTTCCCCAGCAAGCATCAGTCTATGGACATCCTGAAGCAGAGCTGGCCCTCACTGACTGATTTATGGTAGGGAGCCCAGAGGGCCACATCAGTGCCCTGATAGCAACTGGCCTCTGAAGATCCCACGTGGGCTGATGGGGACTGAGGTCGTTTTTGCTCAAGCTTTGAACTCCACCACAGTCATGACTATGCTATGATCCAGGTCTTTGGTGCTGGGCTTGGTGGAGAATGCCACACAACTTTTCCCTCTTTCTCTGAGCAGTGTTTTTCTTGCCTTCTAGAGCTTTCTTGAACCTGCTTCACACTTGGGTGAGTGATGGAGTGTTTCTCCAAACACCATTCATCTGCAAATGTGGAGGGGACAGGGCATGTAAGAAAATGAACATGTATGACCTGTTTGTTCTCTGAATTTTTTCTGTAGAGTTAAGTGTCACCACTGGCATCTTGCAGGAGACCAGAGGCTCGGGAGGGAGGGAAAGGATGCACCTGCCCTTCTTGACAATGCCTTTCAGACAGGCATCTCCTGCCCCATCTCCTTCTGAGTGCTGGCATTTTGGGACATGTCTCCTTATCCCACCTCCACCCTGTAGAAGCCCCTTCTCTGAAAGAGCCCTCAAAATGAAGAGCTGAATTTTTGTTTTATTATGTTTTCTGTTGGCTGGCTTCTTTCTTTCTTTCTTTCTTTTTTAAACACAGTCTTTTCCACTAGGAAGAGAGAGAACAAAATTTTAAGTCTCTCTCTGAATGGCAGTACCAGAGTTGATTTTTTTCCTTTTATTGTTCACTACTTAGTATTTTTTCCAAAATTTTCAGAGTAGAAATATTTTATTTTTATAATGAAAAATTCAAATATTCAAAAAAAAAATTTTCTCTTATAAAAGAGGACTCCAACTGATTTGGAATGAGTAGACATAATTATCCGTATATTTGGTGTAGCTATATATGTAAAACCACAGGGCTACTGGAATTTTGCTATTTCCTAGGGTCATTATTTTAAAGAACATCCTGGTCTTGTTACAAGTTAGGAAATAAAGAAAACTGGGGCTTAGCAAAGAGAAAAATATAAGACAACCATGAAATCTTGCCCTCCTCCCCATTGCGCTTCCTCCCTTTCCTTCCTGAGAATATTGTTTTACTGTTCCCCAAATGAGATCTTTCTAATGTTAGGCTCTCCATTTTGATTTTCGTATTCAAGGAGTTTGAGCCGTCAGCCAAAATAAAATGATACAGTGTGTTAGCACAAAGCAGACAGGGCCGAGCTGCTGGCTCCAGGGGACCGTCTTGTTCTCTTGGGAAAATGCCTGATGCCCCAACACTCTGCTCAGCTCACTTGGGTGCCCTGACCCTCCCCCCTCCAGCTTCTGTTTTCTCCCTGCACCCTCCCCCAACCTGGAAAGCATAGCTGTTCGGGGCTGATAAGGTGCCTCCTTCTAAAGCATGGATCATCTGGTCTCAGAATTCAGTGCTGGTCAGTGTGATAGGTGACATGGGCACTCTAGTCACAAACAAAGCCTCACTGAAGGGTTGAGCCCACTGTGGGTCTGATTCTGAGCTTCTTCCTTCTCTGTCAGCTGTCCAGGAATATCCATCCCTGCATCCCAAATATAGTCTTTTGTGGTGGCCATGTGTGGCCTGGTTTCTTCATGTGCTTGCTCTGCACCTGCCCGTGCATCCAAATATGACCATAGTTATCATGGGAAAAGTTACTCCTGTCTCAGTGGGGCCTGGCAGGCAGCTGTGGGTATTGGATAGTGTTGTGTTTTTAGGGCTAGAACTAAAAACCCTTAAAAAAAAAAAAAAAAGGACTAATGTTTCTCTCCCCTGAAGGTCAAGGTCATTTCCCTGCTTTCCTCTACCCCCAAGTCTCCACTTCCCTGCAGCTGTCTGGATACCTTGCAGCACCTGTATTCTTTCCAAGCCTCGCTCGGAATTCTTTTGGGGGAACAGAGGTAAGGGCAGCCCCAAAACAGTAACTGTTTCCTGATGGTTTAAAACTCAGGTTTCTCTCCTTCCCTGGGCAATGGGGGACATCCATTGCAAATGCCCTTTGTGATGGCAGCAAGAGGAAGGCAGCAAGGAGTTGGACAGGGGCTGCTGGTCCCTGAGCTGCTGCAACAGCCCATGCTCCTGACGCACCCTGTCCAGAAGCCTAGCATGGGTCTGAGAATGCCCCGTGCTGACCTTGCCACCATAGTGTCCATATGCTGAGGTGCCTCTCAGGTCCCTGAATGGCCAACATTGGCCACTTATCAGGGTGCTAACTGTATTTGGCGATGATTTGTGAGATCTCAGAATATTGCTGAGAGTTGGGAAAATGAGGTATATGGGAAGATGAAGAAATGGCTGGAGAAAGAGTCAGTTAGACCTTTGGGTCACTAAGGAGAGCTGCTCCTGGAGCAGAGTGAACCCAGGGTTTATGGGGAGGTCAGTCTGCAGACCCCTGTTGGACAACTGCTCATCCCTGGGGAGCAGAATGCGAGGTGGAGGTGCTGCGTGCATGTCCTCGGCTGCCATAAAGTCAGGCTGTTGTCAGCTCCACGCATCAGAACAGCTGGGATTTGCACGATCTGATGCACAGATAAAACCAGAAAACCAGGAGCTCCTGCTTGGAGGAAGGAGGTGTCTGATAGCCAGTTGAAAGGGCGAATGGAAGAGAAGCATAAGCAGGGGCACTAGGGAGGCCTCTTTCCATACTCCCAAAGACAGGGTTCAGTCTCTTTTCCTTAGGAAATGTCCCGTGGGGTCTTGGGGACTCTGGATCCCATGCTGGCAGAGCTTCCTGGCCATCTGCCCAGGCATCAGTGTTTGGAAGGAGGGAGGAAGCACTGGATAAAATCTCAGCCTGCTTCTGGAGTCTAGGTGCACCTCAACCAGGGGACCCAGGAGTTCTTCATGACCCAGGTGTCCTTCTCCAGCTTGGGTATTATTTTGTATTTGGTATCTTGGGCTCTCTTAAGAGCAGTTTACTGCTCCTTCCCCCAACAACACTTACATAAATACTTGGTACTCCCCTATACACGTACATGGATACAAGGTTCTCACTACCCCCCGTACATACATCAGTGGTACTTGCCCCCACATGCACACAGATGCTTGGTTAATATTCATACAAAGGGAACATGATTAATAAGTAAGTGCTTCCCTCGCCCTTCAGCCCTCTGTTCTCTTCTCATTGGCAGTTGTCCCCAGTCTCTGGTAGATCCTCCCAGATATAGTTTAGATATATCCTTGCACCTGTTTCAACCGTGGCTTTCCCTCGGACCTGCTGGGAAGTGACCAATAGGTGAAGACACAGGGCCCAGAGGGCTGTGGAAACTCGGGCAGCTACTGAAGTTAACTGAAGCCTAACTATTGCCCCCTCCACTCTATTTTGTCACCTCTCCCCTTTAGGGATCCCTTGTGTTAGATGTGGGGATGTGAAGAAACTGGGCACTGAGAATAGACCTCAGGGGCATATTCTGAATGCAGGTAATAGAGCAAAACAAACAAAAACGAGTTTAGACAGACCTGGGTTCCAATCCTAGCCACGTGGCCTCAGGCGAGTTCTTGAGCCCTAGTATTTAGTTTATAAAAAAGGAGGTAATTACATCTATCTCAAGGGATTGATGTAAAGATGAAATTAAAATATTTGTGAAGTGCCTTGCCTAGGTACACATTCAGAATGTCATTTTTTCCCCCCCACTTCTAAAGAGTGACCCATTTCCAAAGTGAAAGATGGGTGTGGAGTTCTCCGTATGACATTCTGAAAGTCCTGTGGGTGGGTGGTGAGTCTTGGTTTCCCTCACAGGCAGCCAGTTCTCCCTTTACTAACAAGCTGAACTTCCTCTGCCCAGTTGGCCCTACCGTAGGGAGTCCATCTCCACCCCACTCAGCCTCGCGACCCCACCTCCTCCTGGCCCTCCACCCTGCCACGCTCCTCCACAATCCTCACCTCTGGGTCCCTCCTCCTCCCCCTGGCAGCTGGATGCTGCCTGGAGAGGGCTGCAGGCTGTTTATGTGGTATTTCTTTAGAAGCTTCTAGCAGATGTCTGTTTATTGCTGAGACTTCATCTTTATCTTCAGCTCGAGAGAAGTGAGAGGCTATTTTTAAAGACCTTTCATTGGCATGGCCACATAATACCACTTAGCTGGCCTCCAAGTTTAATTCTTCATTGCTCTCCAGCTCTACCATGATGAAACCCTTCAGATCCAGGCTGAGAGGCCTTATATGTCCTGATTTCAGAGCAGCACTTAAATTTAGCTGGCAGTTGTAATCTCTTAAAAAGTTAGGCCAGGGAGAGAAGGCCACCGACTAACTGTCTTTCCTCCCCCCATTTCAGACAGATGGTATGAATGAGAGGATCATTTCTGTGTCCATAGCAACCATCACCTTCCTCCACCCGTGCTCCATCCTGCCACCTGCAGGGCTGAGGTCTGCTCTCATGTGTGTCTGAGGACTGGCAGGGAGATCTTTAGCACTACATTTCCCTTTGGACTCAGGTGGGGCTTGAGGGGAGGAGGGGGTGGAGGAGGGAGGGGGTTGCTTCACTGACCTCCCTGGAAAGAGGAGGGCAGACAGTAGGTCACAGAACCTTGGGATGTTAGGTTGAAAGTGTCATCAAAGATTATCTGCCTCTCACTCTTGCCTACTCACTTAGCCTTGGAGAAACTGAGGCTCAGAAGCTTCTTGATGCTGAGCAGAGGCCAGAGAGGTGTGTTCCTTGTTCAAGGTCACATGGCCAGGTCAGTGTCTCTTCTCACCCACCGTTTCCCACTGGGGTGATCCTTGGTCAGTCTATGGCCGTTGTTTTTGCAGTCACCCTTCCTTAATGAAGGACAGTATCACCTACCCTATCCCCTTTCTAACAATTCTGCTGACTTTGAATTTAAGATGTGTACCCTTTAACACTGGTTAGCTTTGCTCTCAAGATCTTCCCTTATCAAAACACCTTCCTTGGAGTCTTGGAGTTTCAAATTCTTACCTTTATTTTCAGCCCTTGTCTGCAGAGGATCTTTGTCAAAAATGCTGAATTTAACAGGGAAGGACACCATGTTGATGGAGATTGCCCTTTTTATCTCTAATTAACTGCCTGCTGAACCTTGAGAGAAAATGGGGTGTGGGATGAGTCAGCTGGGAAGAGGAGGAGGAGGGAATCCAGAAAGGAATGTAAATAGAGTACCTGGTGGGGGGCATCGGGAACCATAGGCCAGGGCTAGTTAATGGTAATGTGCAGCTGTTGCACTGGAGGCCCTGGAGGACCAAGAGCTGAGCATCCTTCTGATGCCTGGAGGTGGGTGCATTCAGCAAGCTGGCTGATGGCTGCACAAGAGATAGTGTATAGAATGCCTGAGGCGCCACTAATCAAGGGCCAGCTGGGACTTCCTGGAGGAGGCAGGACTTGTTGGAAGATGGGTGGGATTTCCACAGGCAGAGGTGGGCTGAGTAAGAGCACTGGGAGATGTGGAAAAGTGTGGTGGGGGGGTGATGCTGAGGCTGGGGGGAGAGTGGCAGGGCCATAGAAGAGTATGGTGGGAGCTAATCCTTCAGGCAGATGGGCTTAGTGGGAGGAGCTTAGGAGGCCTGTGTGCCTTCCAGACATTGGAAGTGCACACTGAGCAGATGGTCATTTGCCTGGACAGAGAAGGGAAATGGGGGAGCGGGTGGCTTAAGGCCAGGGACCAAGTTAGGCTTGATCTTGATTTCGTCATACTCTTTGTGTGCATAGGCCTTTCTGTTTCTGAGGACTGCAGCCCATTTTGGAACTGCCTGGTTACCACATGGCTGTCCCTTTCTGCGGCTGTGCCACCATGTTTGCCTGTCTGTGCTTTGGCAGCTCATCACTCTGGGGAAATAGTAACTGTTCACTTTCTTCTCCTGGCTGCTGCACACCTTGTCCACTGGTCATTCCCCTCCCTCAGGGTCAGTTTCAGGGTAGTGAATAGGGAATGAAGGGTATGCACCCTTGGGGGTGGGTACCCATGGGTCAGGAGCAAGAGTTCCCTGCTTCCCCATGGTGAGGCAGTAAAGCTGGGATGGGGCAGGAACAGCCTGTGTAAGAATGACGGTGCACCATCACCTGAAAGGATGCCATTCTCTCCTGTGACCTCACTGTCCCCTGAGGCCTCACTTTAGGTGGACCCTGGCCATGTGGAGGTGGGTGAAGATTGGGCTGGTCCTCCACCTGCTCCAGTGTTGACCTGGCCTGTGGGAGTCATGGCAACCTCGTGTGTTTACAACCTTGATATTTGACCAGGACTATTTGCACCTGTTGTCTGACATATACGTCTCAAGGACACCCTTGCTTTATGTGTTGGGATAATTTGCTCCTGCAAGCAGCAAGTCGAATAAGTTTAATACTCATGTAGCTATTGATGGGGATTCTGTTTGAAATTGTCTCTGTTTCTTTTATTTATTTTTTCCTATCAGTTGATTGATCAATTGATCACTGGATGCATTCATTCTGCCAATTAAGACTTTGGAAAGCATGTTGTCACAGACAGACCATGGCTTTTCAGAGTCAGGGTTCTCTGCTGTGACTTATGTCACAGGGTGCTTGTGGGATTAAAAGGGGCATTGGGCACAGCATATCTGCCACATTGCCTGCCACACAGTGAGCACACAGGTGGCCTCTTCCTTCTGGCCCACTTGTGAACTGGACCACAGGGGTCTTGGAACACAGACGTAGGCAGGGTTCCTTTTTACCTGAGGCCTCATGTTCTTACAGTTTGCTAAGTGGGTTTTGGGTTTTACCCATAAGTAGTGACTTTTTAAGAGTGACTCAGAGCTGAGTGTGGTACATGCCTGCAATCCCAGCAAACAAGGTGGCCAAGGCAGGAGGATCACAAGTTCAAAGCCAGCCTCAGCGATTTAAGGAGACACTGTCTCAAAATAAAAAGGTCTGGGGATGTAGCTCGGTGGGTTCACTCCCCCCCACCCCCACCAAAAAAAAAAGACTCTATCAAAGAGCCTTCATTGCCATGAGGAAATTGGGACACCTCTCTGTTTGTAGTAAGAAGTTCTTCTCATCAAACTTGGAACTCCAAGGCTGGGAGAGCCTTATCAACCCCATCGGGTGCTTGGTTTCTCCCCTGGGATGGTCTAGCCTGAGGTTGTATGCTGGAAGTAACCCCTTTCACCTTTAGACGGCTCCTCGGAAGGGCTCCCTATAGCTTCTGGCATTTCATCTCATTTCTTCCTCCAGGAAGCCACAGTGGCTCCACCACATGACACCTCTTCAGATATTATGTTTCTGTAAGGAACAAATTAGACACCATTGATCAGTCATAAGATGGACCATTATTTTGTGTACCATCAAGAAAGAGAAAGTCCTGCCAATGAAATGTGGACACACTATCTTACTATCACTTATGCTTTATTTTTTTTAATATTTACTGAAAAACATTTTTAAGACTTTAGATATTTTTTATACCACTCTTTCATTCATATATATATATATATAAAACAAAATTGGTTAGGCATTTCTAAACTTCTTCACTTTCAGAATCCAACTATTGTTTTTGTTGTTTCACTCCAGGACATCCATGTTGATGTCTTTCTGACATGTTATTATCTTCTGGTCAGGTGGGAATGTATTTCTTCATCTCTGTTGTCTTTGGAGTTTTCCCAGCTGCCAACACCCATTCTCTAAGTTTTGATGTTGTTTTCTTGATTTTACCAGAAAGTGTTGATGAAAGTTTTGTGTCAACAACCAGGACTTAAATGGCCCTTCAGTGTTTCAGCTCCTGAAATATGGAAGTTGCAGATGTGCGTCTATGCCAGCAGGAATAACAGCCAGATTCCTGTCCGTGAGGCAATGACAACTGCTACGGCTGGCTCCCGAGACAATTGTTAGATGCTGGGAATTGTAAGAAACATTCTGCTGTCAGACATTTTATAATTGAAGTAATTGGAAACAAGTGCATCTTCTAATAAACGAGAACCGGTATTGATAGCTCCCTTGACCACTCTTGGGTCTTCTCCTAGATTAATGACCTGAGAGACGGGGTCAGATTTTTTTTTTTTGTCTTCCCTGTGAGTCTCCTCTGAACATGCTGCAGTGTGCCCTTATCTTTTTATTCAGTGAAGACAGTACCCAGAATTGTATATCATATTCATGCTATGACTACAGGATAGGAAGGGAGCGATGACCTCCCTGGTTCATGACATCTGCTCTCCTTTACGCAGCCCAAGTCTGAATCAGCTTTTCTGCAGCTACCACACATAACTGACTCACTGATGCTACCACCGACCAGGTATTTTTAACATTTGCTGTCACCAAGCTACTTCTCCCCGTCTTCAACTTGTGTGGCTTTAGAATTTAAACACAGCCTCCTGTTTTGTCCCCACCTGATTCAGAATAATCATTCTGGCTAAATCTCAACTTGAATTTGGCGTGTACCTGTTCCGCTGTGCTCTTTCAGGATTGTGTGTGTGTGTGTGTTCTGTCGCATTACCAGGTCTCTACGTCTTACCAAGAGGAGCTCTCTGCCACATTGATAGAGATCTCCCTTCAGAGACAGCACACTTTAACCAGCTCACTTGGGGAACCCTGGTTCCAGCTGCCTCTTACCTAGTCTCGGTCCTTTGCTTCTGACCTGTGACTAGATGCCTCCTGGAAGCCCGAGATGGCATGTCTATTGCAGCTCTCCATCTATCATTGCATAGCTCATCAGAAAAAAAAAAAAGGACACAGCTGTCTTCTGAGTGACCCAAGTTCCCGCAGGGCTCCAGGACCATTTCCAGGTGTTCCTGGGATGTCCCATGAAAGCAGTTGCACCAATCGCAATGGATTTAGTGTCTCCTATGAAAACTCTGTGCTCTGGGATATACCCGTTCTTCCTCAGAAGACTTGGGGTTATTGAAAGTATCCAGATATCCATTAAAAACTACACCAAAACAAGTCCTGTCTCACATGCGCGATCTCTCTCCTCTCAGCGTAGGCTCCTCACTCTCCTCCGCCTTCCCTCCATGCACATGGCTGCAAGTGCATTTCAGAGACTGAGTCATTTACTTCCCCAATCTCAGTCTGTTGTCTTAGAGTCTCTGGCACCAACTTCCCCTTCTGGGTCTCCCAAATCTCACAGGAAATGATTGGTTTTCCTCTGTCGCTCTTGTGTCCTCCTGGTCACTGGCTCATTCCACCACTGCTGTGGGAACTAGGGAATGAGGTTAGTCCCTGTGTCCATGGACACTTCCTTCCTCTTCTGGAAGATGGAATTCTCAGTGAAGCCAGGCTGCGCTTTTAGTCACGGGGGCTTTCAGCAGAGTTGGGGGTCAGTCTCACCCAGCTTTGCTCTTAGCTGGATGGATCCATGCCATTGGTAGCCCAGGGGCTTGGGTTCCATGGTAGCTTCATGCCTAAGTCACCCACACGTTGTCCAGGACTGTTCTCTTTTTTCCTGCGTGTTCCACAGGGATGTACGTTATTTTTGTCACGAGATACTCTTCTATGCCTACCCTCGTCCAAGTCTATTTCTTTAAAAGATAAAAGAGGCCACCGGCAGTGTGTGTAGTCTGCTATCAGTTATGCAAAGAAAACGCACACATTTATATTTGCACGTAGAGGCAGAACACTGTCTGGAAGGAGGCAGGCTACTAGGAACCAGGTGGCTGGTTTAAGAGTGGGTCACACTGGGGGAGTGGCCTGGAGAGGTGGGAAGCTTCCTGTGGGCTCCTGGGCTTTTGGATTTGGAAACCCAGTGAATCTATTTCCTATTCAAAATTTAAAGAAAATCACAGATAATCTGGGAGTCCCAACAGGCAATTTAGAGCTGGCGAGGCCCTGTGGAAGGAGTGTGACTCACCAGCCTGAATCAGGGCCATGACACTTCCGGCTCACCTGGGCCTGGCTCCCCAGGTGTGGTGCAGGCAGAGCTTGGCACTGGGCCAACACAGGAGGGTCTGTAGGAAGCTGCCCTCCTCCCTGCCTCCTGAGCTCAGAGGTAACTGGAGATTTGACCGCCATTGGTTATAATCTCAGTTTCCTGAGAGCCAGTGCTGGGTGGCATGCCCGAGCCTCCAGAGTTGGTTTCCTGCTATGAATTGCCTAAAACTTAAGCTGTG